AATATACATCTAAACAGGAATAAGACAATCAGTCATTTACATGGATTCAGTTATAGCATAATATGCTAAAGTGAGTAATTATAGCCCAACTCTAACATCTAACGGAGCCTCGTTAGGGGAAAAAGGCCCAGGTCCGAATCCCGCTAACGAGGTCAAAAGGCTTGATTCACAAAGTAAAACTCTTTAACGACAGCAAAACTGAGGAGAAACGATGAGGAATCGATGTGTGAGGACTCCAACACTTTAAACGAGTTACGGCCCCACGTCCAACGTCTTACTCGACTCTTTCTGAACACTGAGCAGTAGGCATGGCAAGATTCACCGATGCGTATCGGAACATCGGAACGACCTGTGCGATACGGTTGCATCGATTTGCAAACGTCTGCATCGGTAAAAACCGCACATAAACTCCAGATGCATCGTATAAAACTACCTGCATCGATACAAACCGATTATTATCTTCTATTATTATAACTTTTTAGAAACGTGTCTTTGAGTTTTAGTTGCGTTTCTTGTAAAGTTTCAGAGAGACAATCACTCTCTAAGTTGCACTTCCTTTGTTTCAAAATAAAAGGCACAGTTAGCTTGCGTGCCATAACTTGAACTATGTAGTCCATGGTGTACTTTTCTTCTGCATTGCATCGTATCGTATCGCATCGTATCGTATCGCACTGTATCGCAGCATTTTAAATTTAGATCGTTCTGTATCGCACCGGATCGCAGGAGGTTGGAGAATCGTATCGAATCTTATCACTAGAAATCCCATGAATCGTGAATGTATCGAATCGTTGGCTGTGTATCGAGATGTGTATCGTATCGCCTTGGTGGTGAAGATTCCCATCCCTACTGAGCAGGCAAGTAAAACTGCAAATCAGCCCCCCCCCGCCTCCTTCCCTCCATTTTGACCCGGCAGGAACACGGTGATTAACGACCTCTTCATGTGTCTCCGTTTACTCGTGTTCCCGGGATGAAGGATGGCTCAAACCGCCACCATTCAATCTGCTGGGCGATTAGAAAAGTAATCATTTTAGGGACAATTGGGACTTTTCTGAAACAATTCCAATGATTTTCATTGTAGCGTCCCCGGCTAATAGACGGTCGGACTCTTTAACTGATGGTTCATATCCTTTTAATTCGAACCGTATAATACGAACTCACCGTAAGAGCTAAAAGAAATTGAAAAATTAAAAATACAATTACATTCCAATAAACAGTCCTTTAAACTTTACAGACAAATTACCGTGTTATCTTAGATAAAAATAGATCGGAAAAATAATAACAATCGAAACCGCAAACATACTTTACTTATTTAAAATATTAATAAAACTTAAAACCGGACACAATCTAATACAAAAAACAATACAAACCTTGTGCCCTTTTAGCCAGGAGCTAATACTTTTACGTAACCGTTTTGACACCTTAATATAGCGACCGTTTGTTTTCTAACGTTTTTTCAACGTTCCTCGACAGTCCCGAGGTCTCCCGAGAGCCCTTCAAAATAAAATGCTTTCTTCAAACAAAAAGAAATATTAATCTAACTTCGTAAATTCACAACACCAATTACA